TTTAAACTTATTTGATAAGTTGTTCAATTTAGAATTCAAATTAATTTAAGTTTGACTTAAATTGTAATTTGAATTTGAGTCAAAATTGGACTACAGGATAAATGATGATTTTCTCTTCCTTCCCTATCTGATATTGGCGCCACACAGGGATGAGAATCCCCTTAGAATGGCCGGCCATATAGGATAGAGGAAAAGAGGAGATTTGGTTTAAAATTCAAATATGAGATAATTAACAAGCTTTATCTTAGAGATAGAGATTGGATTCTTTCTAGAAGTTTGACTTCTACTCTATAAATACTATTTTTGAGACAATTTTCGGAATGGTTTTTCGCCCTAATTTTAGAGGTAGCCGAAATTTCTCTATAGAAATTTTGGAAACAATTTTTCAGCCCTAAGAGTTAAGGTTGGCCGAAATTCTCAAGAGAGAAAGGAAGGAAAAATTTTTCTCTAAAAATTCTACATCGTGCATGCGACGGTGTTTGTGGAAATTCGAGTGTTTATTGTAACCCGTTTTGTCTCATGTGTGCCCACACACACGTCTTCGTGGATTCTAGGAATTAACGTGGAAGACATTAGTTTTCTAAACACAAAGATTGGAGCGAGGACTGTTCGTGGTCAAAGAACTCAAGTTATCATCCGAGTCGGCTTCCAGGTATTTTTCCTGATTGAGTTCTTAATAAATGAATTAATGAGATTAATTTATTCATGCATAAATTAATATAATCTATAGAGTATCTCAAAAGTTTTATGAAAATTTTTGTTATACACGATCCGCTTCTTCCCCCCGCACCACCACGCTTCCGCATCCGGATTCGATCCGGAGACCAACACCGAGGTGGTGAATATGTTGAACCATTTAGTACACTTTGTGCACAACATGGAATTGTTTACGAAGTCACACTTCTATATTCTCCCCAATCGAATGGCATTGCTGAACGGAAAAATCGTACCTTAAAGGATATGATGAATGCAATGTTAATAAGTTCTGGGTTGCCACAGAACATGTGGGGGGAAGCCATTTTATTTGCTAATTACCTTTTAAATAAGATTCAGCGTAAGAAAGTCGATAAAACCCCCTATGAATTGTGAAAAGGAAGGAAACCTTCCTACAAATACTTGAAAGTGTGGGGGTGTTTGGCCAAGGTAATGGCACCAACACCAAAGAAGATGAAGATAGGTCCGAAAACGGTTGATTGTATCTTCATAGGGTATGCTCATAATAGTACCGCATATCGGTTCCTTGTGCACGAGTCTAAAAACCCTGACATACACAAGAACACGATAATAGAGTCTAGGAATGCATCGTTCTTTGAACATGTATTTCCATGTAAGACTAAGGAAGATGAGCCAAGTTCATCAAAACGAACTTTTGAGACTATCATAGAAGATTGTTGTCAAAATTCTGAAAATGATGAAAATGTGGAAACGGAGGAACAACTTAGACGAAGTAAGAGGGCAAGGATAGAAAAGTCTTGCGGACCTGATTTTCTAACTTATATGCTAGAGGCTGAACCTCAAACATATAAAGAAGCTGTGAGCTCAACTGAGGGTCCTTTATGGAAAAAAGCCATAAAGAGTGAGATTGATTCCATCTTATAAAATCATACTTGAGAACTAGTAGACCTTCCACCAGGAAATAAACTACTAGGTTCTAAATGGATTTTTAAACGAAAAATGAAGACAGATGAAACAATTGACAAGTATAAGGCCAGACTAGTAATAAAAGGTTATAGACAACGAGAAGGTCTTGATTACTTTGACACATATTCTCCTATGACGAGAATAACATCTATAAGGATGATATTAGCGATTGTTGCGCTGCGGAATCTTGAAGTTCATCAAATGGATGTGAAGACAGCCTTTCTAAATGGAGATCTCGAAGAAGAAATCTATATGGAACAACCTGAGGGTTGTGTAGCTCCAGGACAAGACAAGAAAGTCTGTAAATTGGTGAAGTCTTTGTACGGACTAAAATAGGCACCAAAACAATGGCAGCGCTGCTCGTTTTTGTTTGGAATATGCACTCAATTCATCTAAATTCGACACCATTAACGACTGTGTTTTAAAAGTTGAGTTGTCATGAAAAAATTATAGGATTTTTCTCTTCATTTTTGATTAATACTCTTTTATTACTATAGTTATTTCATTAAAAAACTTATTGATCAAGAAAATTTTGTTAATTTAGAAATCATTATATACTCATCGCACTTTTATATATAAACAATCCACTAAATTTCCATCAATCATCTACCATGTCACATTGTCAAAATCAACACACATCATCATCAGCGTCTCCTGATCGTTCTACTATATGACTATTTGTAATGAACCAAATTCAATCGAATAATCCACAAAAGTAACGAAATTACCAATATGATTACCAAGTGAAATCATGAAATTGCAGAGAAGGTAAAAGTACCAATATAATGAGACAAACATTCCAAATTAAATCAATAATGTTACGCCTTTATCCACTTCCATCCTTGTTTATGTATTGTAATTGTGCGAAAGCCTTAGCTAAAGGGACCTAACAATGAGCAAGTTTACTTTGTAATTAATTATTTCCCTCTTTCACTTTCTTTTGTCAAATTTGCGTATTGTTGCATTCTAAAGTAATTATGATGCAATCTAGCAAATTTAAGATACTATAATGCCACAAAATTCTTAGAGGAGTCAAAGTGAAACAGGAAGGGCAAAACAGAGTTAGGGAGACAAATAATAAATTAACAATTTGGAGATGGAAAAGCAATTTTGAGTTTTGTCCCTTGTCTCTCCATTCGTGTGTCTTTTCACTTTCGTACCAAAACTAAAAGTGAAGGCTGTAAGGTGAGGAGAGAAGAGAAGAGAAGAGAAAGAGAAAATAAAAGAAAAAGTAAAAGACATGTATGTGTCTGAGATAGGGAGTGTTGGTGTGGGCGGCAAATTGTGCGGCGACGCCTCTGCATCATCTTCATTGACTTCATGTTCTTCTTCAATGGGAATGAGAATGGCTTTTGTTCTGAGAAACCCATCTTTTCTATTTCTAAAACAACAACGAACACCGTTCAATTCCAATTTCAATTTCAACTTCAATTTCAATTTAAAGACCAAGAAGAAGATGCGTTTGGTTATCAAGTGCGCCGCCAACTCCAACTCCAACTCCAACCAGAAGCAGACTTCGTCGCCGTCGTCGGTGTTCTCAGTGACGTCATCGAGTGGCAGTGATTTCGATTACTTGGGTCAGAGCACCAAAGGCGATTTCAACCTCAACTCCGACCATTTCGATTCCTTTGTTGGTCAGTCAGTTTTCATTTTCCCGTCTTTCTTCAAAACTCAACTCACTCTTTTTTACTTTAGTTAGTTTAGAATCAGTCATGTTAAAGAAGAAGAAGATAAAAAGGAAAAATCTTTAAACTGTCTTTATCATTTCTTTCAACTGTTGTAGCAATTGATGGTCACTCAACCTTACAAGGCCCTATTGAAGAAGTGGCCTCCATCGAGACTCAAGAAGCTGAAATTTTGCTTAAACACTTGGGCATCCCGGTGGGTTTCAGTTTTTTCTCTCCCTCTCTGCTTTCTCTCTTTTGCTTAAACACTTGAAATTGCCTTTTTCATGTGCTGTCAATTTACTTATAGCTTTTTTTTTTTTTTTTTTTTTTTCCTTTCCTGGTGTTGAATATGTCGATGATTTTGCAGAATCCTTCTTCGTCGAGATATTCGCTTCGCGGCATATTTTGCAGCCGCACCTTGAATCTCCGCTCAATCAGCGCCATCGGATATGACATGGACTATACTTTGATGCATTACAATGTGATGGTAATTCAATTTAGATTAAATATTACTCCACATTTCCTCCTGCATCTTACTGTTTCATTCAATAAGCAATTGCAATTCAGCCTAATTTCCACTGAAACTAAATGGACTCTAGTTTTGTCTGCGTTATATTTCCCTCATTGGTTGGTTTATCATCAGATTGGTGGTTATTGCTTGATAATGTTTTGACTCTTTCCCATTCCTTGTCTCTTCATGCGTACCAATATATCTTAAGCAAGTTTGTCATTGGTGCAATTGACATTACTAACTGTCATGAGAAGAGGGGGATTTCTTGTTGGAAAATGTGGCACTGAATGATTGGTGAAATGCCAGCTCAGCAGAGTCATTATAGGCTGTCTTAAGGACCAACCAGAGAGATCAGCAGAGGGAAATCCACTTATTGCTAGTTGAAGGGAAAATATGGATTTTGGGTCATTGAAGGACGATCGCTTGTAATTTCTGGTAGAATTCTGAGTTTTCTTGATCGAAAAAGAGTGCTTTTGGGTGTATCATTGGGGTTTTCTAGGAATTTGAGTGTGAAGAACTCCATTGATGATTCCAAGCATGTGAATTGTTCCGATTATTAGAGATGCTGTTGGTGGATTCCACTCCAGGGACGTACGAGTGTTGAACTCTGAATTTCATTGAAATTTCTGGTGTTATTTGTGTTTTTGTTCTTGAATGATTGTTCTTTACTGTTTTATTGGTTGGATTGAAGTGGTGTGTTCTGTTCCAAGGTTTAAGGAAGGATTTCTATGGTTGGATTTCTTCCTTGCAGGCTTGGGAAGGACGGGCTTATGACTACTGTATGGAGAATCTAAAGAAAATAGGTTTCCCGGTTGATGGACTAGCTTTTGACCCTGACTTGGTAGGTACCTTTCGTTTGAACAGATGAAATTCGTTTCAGTCTTACAGGTTCTTTTATCGCCTTTCCTTTCTTTTGTTTTATGTAGGTTATTAGAGGCCTTGTGATAGACAAAGAGAAAGGGAACTTGGTTAAGGCTGATCGATTTGGTTACATCAAAAGGGCTATGCACGGCACAGAAATGTTATCTACCCGAGCTGTAAGGTATGTTTTGAACCTCTGTCATTCGTGTCCTTGTAATCACATGAATGTTCTAGCTTGCTACTTATTTGCAAAGCAGCGACTCAGTGAGTTGGCACCGTGGTGGGAGCACTTGCGTTTGCACCCGGGGTCCAAGGTTCGAATCCCGGAAACGGCCTCTCCTTCGGGGGGTAAGGCCGCATACATGTGGGATTGAGTTTTCACCCGAGCCTGTCATAGTACGGGAGCCTCTTTGGCACTGGGGTCCGCCTTTAGTGCATTCCATCATGCAGATGGATGTGAACTTAGGCTTGTAAATTTTCTTGTATTTTTATATATTTAGTTATTGGGAAAAGAGCTAGAGTTATATTTTCTTTAGTGCCACTTAACTTTGTCTGCATCAAAGCGAGATGTACGGGAGGGAACTAGTGGATCTCCGGAAGGAGAGTCGATGGGAGTTTCTCAACACACTGTTCTCTGTTTCAGAAGCTGTGGCATATATGCAGGTATTTTTAGACTCGCGTTATTATTGCTCTTTTACTAAACCATTGTTACTAGTTTAAGTTTCTGGCTACCTTGCTATTCTCTCTGTCTTCTTTTTGGTTTGGTCAGGCTCTGAGGCGTCTCTCAATTTTTTTTATATAATGAACTTCAATCATTTTACCCTCTATAAGGAGCGTATAACCCCATAAATTTTCTTTGTAATGACTAAAGTTTATGAATTATTTTGGTCGAATACTGCATTCGTAATTTATTTCTTTCCATATCTTTTTTTTTTTCCAATATATTATACTAGTAAGATTGCAGGAAATGCTATATCATGGTATTCTAACTTCTACTATAAAGGTTCATTATCTATCCAGCAACCTTTAGGATCTCTATCATCTTTTCTTGTGATTTAATGTGCAAGGTATATCGTCTTTTTGTCCTTCTTAACTTGACTCGAGCCACATTTTCAGCAACTGACATGTATTATAGGGCATTTTATGGAGTCTTACTCTTTTCTTACTATTATAATTCCTATTCTAATTCACAATGATGTTTGGTTTTTGTTCTCTGTATATATCATGCTGTATTTCCCCATTCCTTTTTAACAACGTATTTGCAAAGTTAATAGTGCGGTTTCTTTTAGATGGTTGACAGATTGGATGATGGAACTATACCGGCAGAACTCGGTCCATTGGATTACAAAGGGCTTTACAAGGCAATATAATGCTTTGAGATTACTATGGAATACTAGTACTGGTTATTATATTCTCCTTTTAACTCTCTGACGTGGTTTCCAGGCTGTTGGAAAAGCCCTCTTCAGGGCTCATGTAGAGGGTCAGCTTAAGGTAATGTGTCAGCTTTGTACTTTCATTTGAATGGCGAGTGTTTACTGATTGTGGCACTCTTACAGAGTGAGATAATGTCTAAGCCAGAACTTTTTGTGGAGCCTGATCCCGATCTACCTTTAGCACTTTTGGATCAAAAAGAGGTATCATCAATTTTACTCGTTTTCTCCATATAGAATGGGAAATATTAATGTATACTCAACTTACCTTTACATTTTCAATCATCAGGCTGGTAAAAAACTTCTGCTTATTACCAACTCGGATTTTCATTACACCGACAAAATGATGCAGCATTCCTTTAACAGATTTCTTCCGAATGATATGGGGTGGAGGGACCTGTTTGACATTGTGAGAGACCATTCTGTTTTATTTCTGGACACCTTTAATGCTCCAAAATCTAATCAATTTTGGAGTTGTGAATGAGTATCTGTATGGAGTATAATAAACTCTCCATTTTTGTTTGTATTGTTAATGAAAAGGTGATAGTCTCAGCAAGGAAGCCGGAGTTTTTCCAGATGTCACACCCAATGTACGAAGTGGTGACGGGTGAGGGACTTATGCGTCCATGCTTCAAGGCTCAAACAGGTGATATAAACTTTTTTTTTTTTTTGTTTTTTTTTGTTTTCCCTCCTGTGTTTGTTACAATAAGGGTATTCAAACCATTCATCCGCTAATCATGTGTGTTCTTTTGCAGGGGGATTGTACTCGGGGGGTAGCGCGCAGATGGTCGAGAATTACCTCAACATCCATGGAGATGAAATATTATACGTGGGTGATCATATTTATACGGATGTAAGTCAATCCAAAGTGCATCTGCGCTGGCGAACAGCATTGATTTGTCGAGAGCTGGAAGATGAGGTCAGTGCGTGTAGCATCCAAAAGAGAGAAAAAGAAAAGAAAAGAAAAGAAAAAACTAGACATACACTGATAACTTGTAATTTTATTTGTTCTATATATGATTATATATGTTGATTAGTCGAATATGCAAAGAAGCTTATGATTTCTTTCATGGAACACCGAGAGTGCAGTATCGTGCCCTGATTCGTAGCCGAGCTCATAGGGGGTCACTAATAGAGCTTATAAATCAAAAGGAAGTTGTAGGAGATCTTTTTAACCAACTCCGGCTTGCTCTGCAAAGGCGAACTAAAGGGCGTCCTGCTCAGGTAATCTTTTTCATCCCCAAATGTGGGACATAAAGCAATGCATAAGACTAATTACAATCCAATTCTGTCAATATTTCCAACCCCATTTCGGCTTAACTTTCAGACTCTTGCCGCGACTAACATGGATGATCAAGAACTTACAGATTCTATGCAAAAGCTACTCATAGTTATGCGAAGACTAGACGAGAAAATTGCTACTATGCTAGAAGCTGATGGAGAGCTTTTCAACAAGAGGTATCAAAATTTTGCACGTGTTCCATGATATTCACGATATGGGATCATTCTGAAGTCAAGCTTGTCTTGTGGTAGGTGGGGCTTTCTTTCACGTGCGGGTTTGTGGGACAAAAGCCATTTAATGAGACAGATTGAAAAGTATGTGCTTTCATTAAGCTTTGAAATACTTATGTTTTTATCAATCAAAACTCGGAACCCTTTTAAGTGATATATTCGTTTCATTTTTTCTTTTTCCTCAACTTGTCACTTAAATTACAGGTATGCTGATATATACACTTCTAGAGTCTCAAATTTCTTACATTACACTCCCTTCATGTATTTCCGCTCTCAAGAACAGGTATTTACTTAGCTATACTAATGCTATGTGTATATATATCACCCACACTTCTTTTTAAGTTTAAACCTATTCACAAATTCACATTTCGACTCGGGGATCCAATGATAATGATACACGGTCTCACACAGTCTTACATGTATTGTATTATCTCTAACCGTTAAAGAAACTAACAGTGATGATGATCAATGGTGACGCTTGGCGTTTATCAATTTGAATAGAGTATTGAATACTACTCATCTCAAAACTGATAACTGATTTTTTATGTGTGATTTGTTTTTGGTCATTGCAGACGCTTGCTCACGATTCGTATGGATATTACCCTTCCAAGTTAAATGGTTCTGCTCTTGTTGACGGCCAATAAAAGTGACAATTACTCATTGTCATGTCAATTTATACATTTTTATGGCTTCGTAACAAAACTTGTATCAGATACAAGAATTTAGACATAAATAAAAGTAATATTTCCAATGAAAAATATTATATGTATGTTGCTCATAAATTGGTTAGAAACAAACGTATTTAACTATACAAAATCCATCTTTTATAAGATGGAGGATGATTTTATTAATAAGCTTCACATAATTTTTATTGTATGCACAATAGGACTAATAAGAACTTCCAATAAGTTAATATGCTACCGGCTTTGTTTGACACACAAAATAACACGATTCAGGTTAATTTTCTGAATGGTCCTTTGATTTTTATTTATTTATTTATTTATTTTTTGGTTTCTACTACCACAGTACCACTGGTCCTTGAACTTTCTTTTATATTACTATCCTTGGTCCGTGAACTCTTTTATTTTTATTTATTTATTTATTTTTCTGTATTGCCATCAGTTTTTGAACCACCAATCCATAAATGATCGTGTTTTGAGCCATAGAAATGATAGATTTGAAACTTTTGCTCTCTGAATGAAGTGAATTGACAAGATAATCATTTCTGCAAGAGTTTTTTTTTTCTTTCTTTTTTTTTCCCTTCAAAGCCAATAGAGTCGGTCAATATACATCTTCACTGCGGTTTAATCCTCTGTTTACTCGACACTTAAAAAATGTTGCTCTGTTTGGAAGTTACACTAGTTTTTTCTTTTCTATATGATTCTGATCACAATATTGAAGTTACTCCTCCCGTATCTGAATTTTTTCTTCTTCTTTTTTTTTTTTTAGGGGGAAAAATAAATGAAAAAAATAAACGAAAGAAACAATTGGGCAAGAAGAGCAAATATGAGAGCCCATTGGGCGTATTTATGGGCCGATCAGATTTAATGAGCCCAAAGAAAGTCCGTGATAAAAGGGAAGATAGTATGCGAGATCAACGGATCAGAGAGGCTGAGGGAGCGTAATGAGGATCAAGTCTTGGAAGTAGAAACTCCGTCCCTCCGTAAAAAATAAACGAAAGAAACAATTGGGCAAGAAGAGCAAATATGAGAGCCCATTGGGCGTATTTATGGGCCGATCAGATTTAATGAGCCCAAAGAAAGTCCGTGATAAAAGGGAAGATAGTATGCGAGATCAACGGATCAGAGAGGCTGAGGGAGCGTAATGAGGATCAAGTCTTGGAAGTAGAAACTCCGTCCCTCCGTCCTCCCTCCCTCCCTCCCTCGAGAAGAGA